AAGGATTCTATTGTAGCGGGTGCACCGTGATTGCCGCTGAGAAATGCTGTCAGCCAGGTGATATACGCAAGGTCAGCATTCATGGAAATTAATTTTGTCAACAAGACGGGACAGGACATCCCATCCTTACAGAAAAGAAGACTGGATCTTACATCGAAATATACCTAAGCCCTCCTAAAAAATCCATCGCGACGGCAGGCATTGCCTCCCTATCGACAAAGCCCACCCTAGAACCTAGGGAGAAACAACTAATCTCTTTTAAAAACTTAAGTGCCGCACGCGCAGATTCTATCAGTCAGCAATCCCCTTCATGAACCGCTTGATAAAAAAAAACTACCAGAGAAGACCTCCATGCTGTCACCGAACAAATCCCTTGATTTCCGTTACCCTCTCTATGCCTGACGATGGAATGCAATTTGCTGACGCACAATTACTCCAGAATTATGAATAAACAACTATTTTTTTTGCTGCCACACGCATTTTCTGCTGTAGCTATACATTATTTCCCAATCCATTATTTTGCTTGCGCCTGTTCCGTGCCATGATGCACCAAGTGCATCTCTGCGTCTTTCAATCCATCATTTCGACGAGAAAGAAGCTTCATCATTCGCAGTAAAGGGAACTGAGACCTTACAGATCAGGAAATCGATGAACATGTCTGGCTCCCGCGAACGTGGTAATATTTTTGCGGTGAGGAACATCTCTCAGAACCTGAGGGAATTACTTGGAGCTGATGGGAATTTTCGCATTCACAGAAACAATTCATCTAAGGTACAACTTCAAATTTTAACAGTCATAAATGGGGGAAAGGAAATGCCTTAAAGCACACGTCAGGTAAATATCCCTTGAAATGTAGTTGATGACTTCCCGTATCACCCTCGCTGCATCTCTATTTTTTGGAAGGAGAGGCAAGGGAGACCGAACGGCAGTTGATGCCTCCCGAGGAGGTAGATAAGTATTTCCACTTTATTCCTTACTCTTTTTTTCCAATTCCATCTTCATCCCAGTTAATATCTGAAAAACGGCATCCGGGCAGTAGGAATGACTTCGGAAGGCCATTCATCCCTTGGATGCTGATCTTGCAAGGAAACCAGGGCAATATGAAGTCAAAGAATCCAATGCTTGTGCTCGTGACGATTCTCAAGAGATGTGGCACTTGCTTGAGTGGATGCCAAAAAGCAGGAACTTGAAGGCATAGGGAAATCGAACCGCTTGGTTCAGAGGCCCTATTTTGACTTAGTTTCGGCCTGAACCCAAGAAATTGCTAAGCCCGGCTCGAGCTTTGACCTAGTCGACCAATTAGCCCAGGTCCTTGGGAGCTTCTCTCTTCTAAGCCCCCCCCACTTCCCAATCCTGTGGACTTGCGCGAAAACTCTTAGAACGGGTCTAGTCTTAGTACATTTAGAAAAACCGTGATACTGATGCTCTTTTAAAGTCATTCAAAGAGCATTGTACTGTTGATATTCAACGTGACAACGATGCAAGAAGGCTTATCGCTTGTTATCAGCGAAATTGAAGAGGCTAGGAATCCTGCGAACGAAGAAGCAGATCCAGGACAAAGGAAAATAAGAAATGAATTAAAATAAACTGTACATCTGTTACGTATTGCAGCTCGAAGCAACTGCAAAACTCTCCCTTTCCGAATTCAATTCAATAGTTAAATGCGAAGACTCGACAGCATTACAATACTAGGGCAGCGATTTTGCTCCATCATGAGCAACGATGAACGAGTGAACCAAAAGGCAGAAATCTGCGAGGAAAGATAATATCTATGGAAACAGTCGACCTATAATAAGAATCAGGTGTGGGGTGTGAATAGATCTCCTTCGGGGCACATTCCCGGGCCTTGAAGATGCTGTTGGGCCAGGAGGGTTAGACAGCTAATGAAAAATGACATTTCCTAGGAGAAATGAGGCCTAGGAATTTATTCCAGTTTAAACAAGGATAATGACCAACAGTTCTCAAAAGAGTGGCCACAATAACTTCCCTAGCCAGGAGGGTTAGACAGCTAATGAAAAATGACATTTCCTAGGAGAAATGAGGCCTAGGAATTTATTCCAGTTTAAGCAAGGATAATGACCAACAGTTCTCAAAAGAGTGGCCACAATAACTTCCCTTGGGGTCTAGGGGCAACAAAGCCTGAACTTCCAAGGATTTTTGCGCTTTTAATGAATTAATGTGCACTTCGAAAAGTTATGTATTGCTTTTACAGTATTACTAATTTTCCCATATTCCTTCTCAGCTGAGTAAAGACTGAGCAAAACGACAGGCTGAAAAATGAAGGGGGGAGGAGCTCTTTTGTCGCTTTTTTCCAATATATGACTGGGTTCAAAAAACCGGTGACATGGCAGACGAACTGGGAAGGGAAAGAAAACGAAAGACCACGGAAAAGGAGGATGAGTTGATTATGCAAGAATCCCTGTTGGAAGCCAGCGCCTTCCAGGTCTCGCGTGTTTTATGTCAAGGAGTCTCTGCCTCGGCTTTCGGGAGTCTGGGCTTGTGCACGCGTTCCCGTTCTGGATGTGACGCTTACGTCCATGCGTGGACGGACGTGATAAAAGAGTTGCTAGTATAGAGGGTCTGTAAATCTTCGGCCGCTGGCCGTGTTATACAGGTGGCCGGATAAAACAGGTTATTTTAATATTGAGCCAATGGGATTAAACACTTCTGGCTGCAAATAGGAGGTTGCCGTAATATCAAGGTGGCTGAATACAGGTTTCACTGTAAAATATTAGGGGGTACGTAAGCAGGGAGGATTATTCATTGCATATGGAGTTGATAAATTCGTTTCTAAGCATGTCAATTTTGCACGATTTTATGTTTCCAAGATTGACGCAGCTTAGCCTTGTGGGTAGTTTTTCCTAGATGACACATGACTTAGTGCCTACGATAGTTCGTAGACTATCGTAGGCACTAAGTCCCCTATGTGATTTTCTTCTCGCAAGATTCGGATTTTTTTTTAGAGGATACGAGATTCGACGCTACGAGAAATCGTGTGAACGAGATTCGACGCTACAAGATATCTTGCGAACGCGATTCGACGCTGCGTGATTTCGGACGTAGGAGTTTCGAGGGTGCGCGATTTCGTGCAAAAGAGATTCGACGCACCGTAACTTCATGGGGTGGATTTTTTCGATGATACGAGATTCGACACTACGAGTTTCCATGCAACGTTGCTGCTGTCTTCAATTTAGCTTGATATCTAGAAAATCCATTTTCGACTGTACGCGTTTCGACGTTACACTTATTCGACCTTAAGTGATGGGACTTTTCGATCGAAAGTGGCTTCGACGATACGAGACTCGACGTCACGCAGCACGCTTATGTACACTTAACTCTGAAAACAGTCAAATCTCGTTAACTCGAATTCGGGTAGAACCGCCGATTCCGTTCGTGTTAAGAGAATTTCGTGTTAACTGTGCAGAAGAACAGTACAATTGCCCCCACGAGTCCCAATCGGAGTTGAATTAGAGTTTATTTGCTTTTAACAATCCAGTCTGCACAACAATATTAACTCAACATTGAGATGTTTTTTGACAATGTTGATGGGATGTTCCTGTTGATGATCCAATGCATAGTCAAAATCGAGGCGATGTTGAAAATATCAACATATCGAGGACATTATCCAGTCAACATTGCATCAATATATTTCGGGCGAGACATCTAGAGAGACACTCCGAAAGAAGAAGGTTCCGTGCCCCCAAAGGGAGATGACAATAAATCAACAACATAGTGACATAGTGAGCTATCTCATATTTGCAATCAGGACGAGTACCCAGTACTTTTGGAACGGTTTACTGATATTTTCTCCACAGACAACACCATAGAAGGTATTTGAATTCCTGGGTTAATTTTACGAAAGTGGCAACCCACCCCAATAATACAAAGACACAGGCCCACATACTTGTGTGATACTGGAGAAGTCCAGGATCAATTTATTTGAGGCGTCATACAGGGTGGTGTATAAATACCTCCGGGCTTATAAGCGGAAATAAAAGACTTATGACAAGTGACTTCATACTGATATCTGTTCCCATGGCATCATGGGCATGTGGATATTCTAGGACAATCACATAGGTCACTTGTGAAAAATGACGTCACTAAGGCGGCCGCCATCACGATCGACCTATTCTCCAGGACGGTCCGCTATGTCGTCCATGACACGCGGCGACATCGCGACGGGCACAGCAGCTATTTTTTCTCGTATGTGACGTTCCAAAGCCTCCAAGGCTGCAGGGCGTGTGTTGCACACCTTGCTTCTCAGATATCCCCACAAAAAAATCAAGAGGTGTTAGGTCCGGCGACTGCGATGGCCTATGAAGATCCCATATGTGGATATCACGCACCCAGGAAAGATTCTGCGGAGGACTTTCATGCTTTTCCGGTGGTGTGGGCCGTCACCCCATCCTGCTGGAACCGCGTCCCAGGAGGAAGGCCACGTCGACAAATCTCCACATCCAAAACCACTGCGACATTTGGGCGTAGCATGCAGCTACGATGGTGTTCGTGTCGCCATCGTCGTCCTTGAAACAGTACGCGCCAATCACTCCGCCGACCCTGCAACCTTGGAGGCTTTGGAAAATCGCATATGGGAAAAAGTAGCCTCTGTGCTAGTGTTGCAGCGTGTCATGCACGATGTAGTGGACCGTGCTTAAGAATGTGTCGAGCGCAGTAGCGACCGCCTTAGTGACGTCATTTTCCACAAGTCACCTACCTATGTGATTGTTCTAGAATATCCACATGCCAAAGATGCCATGGGAACAGATATCCGTATGAAGTCACTACTCATAATAAGTCTTTTATTTCTTCTCACAACCCCGGAGGTATTTATGCACCACCTGTATGTCCAGCGGTGGTCCGCTGGGTGATTTACCATTCCAGCCGGTATTTTTCCGCCTCCGGCAGAAATCCACCAATATATTGTTTGAGTCACTTATGGCCCACTACTTTTGTGCAACTTGGAATGCTTACTGTTTTCTTTAGGTTTTTTGTGTGCAACGTCAAACCTCAACATAACCACCTGCACGTCCCGACACAACCTGATGCAACGGGATAGTTCAATCCAAGTTTTAGTTAGCATGTCGAGGGTGATAGTGGCAACTGTTGTGATTATTTTGTCTTTCGAATAGGCCAAATCAGTATGTCTGAAAGCGTATACCTTGTCCTTTGCATATCCCCACAAGAGAAAGTCTGCTGGTGCTAGATCCGGAGAGTTAGGAGGCCACGGTATTGTTGCCCTGGAAAATTGTCACAACCCACGAAGGATTCTATGCCTCTATAAAACACCCGCAAAAATGTTCATGCGAACATTTTAGCTTTATTTTCATTACTGCCAGGTCTATGCTAGCAGATCGCCTTTATATAGACAGGGTAGATACGAAATCACAGAAAAATAGGACAAAGTTGTCTGAAAACTTTAATATATCCTGGATGCTTGGTAAACATTTCAGAAAGGATCAAGGAGAGATGTTCTCGAAAGTGGATCAGTCGACGTGGGGCCATGGAGTGGCCCTCCAGCTCTTTGACCTGATCTCACTTAATGTCTCTTTATGGGGACGCTTGAAATCTGTTGCGTACAATTAAAGACCTTTCTCAACTCATTGCTATAGCAGGAAATAATCAATTCATATCAATNGTGGCCCTCCAGCTCTTTGACCTGATCTCACTTAATGTCTCTTTATGGGGACGCTTGAAATCTGTTGCGTACAATTAAAGACCTTTCTCAACTCATTGCTATAGCAGGAAATAATCAATTCATATCAATTAATTTCACCTGAAAACAAACGGAGGTGTTTGGAGAGTGGCGTCACCAACTACCTCAACATAGACAAATAATTCGTGTGAGAATGTGTTCTAGACAATAATATAGGCTATGGACAAACACGTCTACCAGACACTCAGAAACGATTACAATTTGCCCTGTGAATACGTATCTATCTCGTCCACTGAAAGCTCATGCAACTCGAAGGTCAATAATGCAAATATAAATAAATATCTGCATAAAGGGACTCACCAGTGCAACATCTAGACCATCCTGCCAACGAGCCCAAATGAGAAGGGTCAGGTAAATGACACCGGTGACAATAAGCAACATGTAGATGGTGATGTTATCGTCAAAGCCAGCATGTGAAAACACATATGTGAAATCCACAGCATTAGGCAAGTGGCCCTCCAGCTCTTTGACCTGATCTCACTTAATGTCTCTTTATGGGGACGCTTGAAATCTGTTGCGTACAATTAAAGACCTTTCTCAACTCATTGCTATAGCAGGAAATAATCAATTCATATCAGTTAATTTCACCTGAAAACAAACGGAGGTGCTTGGAGAGTGGCGTCACCAACTACCTCAACATAGACAAATAATTCGTGTGAGAATGTGTTCTAGACAATAATACAGGCTATGGACAAACACGTCTACCAGACACTCAGAAACTATTACAATTTGCCCTGTGAATACGTATCTATCTCGTCCACTGAAAGCTCATGCAGCTCGAAGGTCAATAATGCAAATATAAATAAATATCTGTATAAAGGGACTCACCAGTGCAACATCTAGACCATCCTGCCAACGAGCCCAAATGAGAAGGGTCAGGTAAATGACACCGGTGACAATAAGCAACATGTAGATGGTGATGTTATCGTCAAAGCCAGCATGTGAAAACACATATGTGAAATCCACAGCATTAGGCATGACAAAGAATCCACCTCCAAAGGTCGTCAAGTGTGTCACATCGGCCGACATCGCTCGCGAATCTACGCTGGTCAGCTATGATAATTTTAAATTTAATCATTAATACTTTTAGAACTCGTTATTTTTGCAAATGCAATACAGGCAGACACATACCTGGATTCCAACGTCGTCGTACTGCTTCTTCTTCTCGTCATAGAAAAGCATGGCAATATTTATACTCTGCAGGCAGTAGGGAGTAGTGAAGTTCACCAGGTACTTTGGAATCATGTTGTCAAAAGTGGCATCGCCAAGCATATTTGTGAAGTCGACGCCAACTTTAAGCATCATGACGCCAACAGACAGCTTATCTGTCTTGAGATCGACATTGTCGCTCTCGTCTTGTGGTGTTGCACAGGCTGAGAATGTGTATTCCCCTTGGGAGCCTGTAAGCCCATATGTACCCATTCATTAAAAAAAACAACAAAGGTATCATTTCAAAAGAATAAGAAACTAGATTCCATGAGCAGAAAAAAACTNGTTCTGGACCGGGAGAGTCTTGCCTTCTTCCTCTTTCAAGTCCACTGTAGCAACTTTTGTCCCCTTGATTTGATCCGCATTGCTCCCCTGCCCATTCTGCATTTCGGAGAGTATAAATTAATATAGTCGTGACAGTTTTTGTATATGTTCTTCTGGAGTACATTAGACTGTCTTTGAACAAAATAGGAGTTCCACTTTTTGAAGAGTCATTTGAAATTTAAACAAGACATATAAATAGTTGAGAAATAGTGAAGGTCACATTTCTTCGAACAATAGGTTCTACGAAATGCACGAAAATCGCTCTAATAGGGTGTCCTATACCTTATACCTGAACTTCTGCTAAGAAAATATGTAAATAATATGACAGGAATTCCGGGACTCTCTGTAGCTACTGATACTATTGCTAGGCCAATTGCCATTAGGGTGGTAGTCCTGCTGAAATGTCAACATTTTCAAACGTTGCTGACCGTGGCCTTTACAGTAAATACAATGTGACTGCTTTATAAAGGACGCGTGCATATTTCAAATAGAACAGGGTACATTTTCCGCATATCCTCCCTCCATTTCCTTTATCTTTGCTTTTGGGTTGCATGCCAATGGATATAAATTCGTCTTATGCAGAGAAGTTAGCATGGAACAGACTTTTGACTAAAATGTCGATATATCACGATATTTGGTTTATTCATCAAAGAGATCGGCGACTGCAGCGAGGGTCGAGTCTCACTCCCTCTTTTTAGGCAACACATATCCCCTGTTTCAGAGGAGAAAATGCTCTTTTGACGAGTACTGTATCTCATAAGCGTTTTCTTTTGAACGATCGTGCTCGTCTCTCTGTCCCATACGGTCGTTGTTACTCAGTCGAATATCTCTGATCCGCAATCACGGTCCTCTGGCAAGCAAGCAGCATCCATGACGGCATATTGACCAATCTCCACAGCATCTGAGATATATGAAATTGTTGCATGTCCACTAAAATTCACCAGTCAGAAATCTTTACATCATACAGGAGTATGATGTAAAGAGTAAGCCTCACAAGCCTGACCGACATGCAAGCAGACAAAAAGAAAGTTCCACCTCATGTGACTTTTGAGTCTTCATCAGCTAGGGAGAACATAATTGAGGAGTTTTCTGGAAAAGGGGCGTATGTGCCCATACGCCCTTTTTCCATATTCGTGTCCATGTGCTGCTTAAGGTGACTTGTCATCGGATAGGGTGGTCAGCAAGTAGTTAAGATACGTATTTAGCAAAGGGGAAGCAGATTTTCCAATATTCTCACTATATAGCAGGTCAACTGCCTGGCAATTTCAATATGGCTGCCTCCATGAATATTCCATTAGCACTTGCATGCTGAGCGATTTTGGTGAAATTATTTCGTAATTTTAAACTGAAAGTGAAAATGAGGAAGAAAACAGACATGAGGAAAGGGAAAGAAAGAGGCCAAGTCATTCAAGCCTCTGGAAGGATGTGAGAAGTTAGAGATATCCATTAAATAGTTGCAGATTCAGATGATGAATACGTTAATAATGGAGCACTGCTGAGTAATTGGCGAATGAAACGTGTCCTGAATATTCAAATTTTCCCAACTATCCTTCAAGAAAGAGTTAATTTGAAATCTGCAGATTCATTTATTGATTAATTATTATTTTTAACAGGAAAGAAATGGTGAAAGACTCGTTGGAAAAAAATCTCAACAGCGCGGACATGGAAAATGGGCGTATGTGCATAAACACTTTCTGCCTGCATCCTAGCAATGTGAGATAAAGAAATTCATTAAAACCCCAAGTTCATTTAGAAAAATGTATGAGATTCCATTTTACTGATAATTAAGTCTTGATCAGCTTCAAATTAGCTATAGGTTTTTATCGTTTATCTCGAATTGCATCTTTTGCACATACGCCCTTTTTCTAGAGAACTCTTCAATTCCTTATGAGGAGGTTTCCATCTCTCCTAACGAAATTGTCGAAGTGGCTAAATTTGGTCGGCATTTTGGCAAGCAGATTGGCAAAGCTCCCTATTGACGACCATTTCCACTTTCAAGGACGAACATATTTTTCCAACCGTGAATGCCTCAAGAAGTTCATCCCCCCTCGATCTCTGATTAGTAAAAATTGTTAGCAACGGACTAATATCCATGAAGCCGGAACGTGATGGCAGCCATATATCAAGCAATGAACTCGAACTACTCTCTCAAAGGATTCTCAATGACCAATATCAACCCAGTTGCATTTCCTGCGTTCATGGTTCATATTTCTGAATTTCAAAAGAATGACTCACCCGCATGTTGTGTGGTGTTTCCAGCATGACCAAGCCAAAGACTTGATCACAGTTGTCTACTGGGCAGTCCCGAAACAAAAGGGAAGATCCAGAGCCAAATATTTTGGAACCGTTGTAGAGTGCATCACCATACACCCTGCGAGCATCGGAAGTTATTTAGTGAGGCAGAGTATCAATAGATCTAATTCATCGAAGAACATGGGGCATTTTGATAGCTCACTTCATCAATTTCAGATAAACCTCGTTAATAGCTTTCATGTTGACGGTCTCTCCAATGACCATGGCCTCCAGCATTTTTGAAGCCACTTTATCAATGATGGAAGCGATAGAGTCACCGAGCCCAGAGCTCTCCTGTCGAGCTCTATCCAAAATGTAGCAACAACGCTGCGATTCCATGTCTTCACTCTGTGCCCATAACTTATCTAGGAGATGCAAGAGTAAAATGCAATATAATTTCTTTAAATATACCAAGTAACCCAAATATTCCCATAATTTTCACGCCTGCAGGCAAGACACCCAACAATGCATAGACAGGAAATTTGCAGCATGTTTCGTATATCATGTGTTGGTGATTTTAATAATAATTCAAGTGTAATAGGATATTTGGAACCAGAGAATCGGTATTTTTTCCGATCAATGTCAAAGTAAGGTTCAAGGTTCGGTTAAAGGCGTCAAGAGGCGAATCCGCCCATTATGACGTCGCGGGTCGAGGTCGAACATTATAGTTACCAGTTAGTTTGGTACCTATTTGGAATGCCGATTGTAGACAGGTGCTATATTTCCTGGCTAAATCCAAGAATGGACCCCATCATAGTATAGCTCAAACCGCAATGGGGAAGTATTTCTCCTCTTTATCTTCTAAACCTCTCTAATTCATTTTACAGATGCTTATTGTTCCCTTTTCCCTTCATTTTCCCTCCTCCATCAAGATGGATCCAGTAAATCAGCGGTTCTCAACCTTTCTTTGTAACGGCACCCTCTACAGACGAGACGTCGGCGGCACCCCTGCACAACCACGAAACTCCAATATAAATAATATCATTATATATGCTAAACCGATAAAATGAGCCTAACCAGGACTTGTGAATTCATGCATGACAAGTTTATTCTGATCAGTTACCTGGAAAAATCATTGTTTAAAAAAGTGTCTTCGAACTTTTTTTTCACTCCAGCGCAATACCTGCGCCAGTCTTTGGTTGTCCCAAAAATCAAGATGCGGCTCAAATTTTGGAGTGACCTCACGCATTTCACTTGTAATGCTTAGACGAGACACGAACTTTTTTTTTAGTACCAAGAATAAGAAAAGAATACGTATGTGGTAGTTAAATGGAATCTGTATCTTTGTTGCAACAATATTGATCTTGACATTCCTCCTGGATAGATGTTTTTTTAAATAAAGGTGCATACCAGAAGTACCCAATATGAGTCGATTGTGATCAAAATTAACTCATATTGCATACTCCTTGTATGCACTTTTATTAAGGGAATATCTATCAAGTCAGAAGTTGTCGCATTTTAGAAGCGGTTCTT